GGCTCTATTTATAGAGTAGATTTGACTTAGTTTGGACTTGGATATTTCAACGTCAGAATAAGAAAAAATGAATTGCACCCCTCTCTATCGACTGCTAAAACGGTAATTGGTACCTTGGACGTAAAAACAAAATTCTTGGGCATTCAAAGGAGCTCATTTTCGGAATTTCGAGTAATTTTGGCCACGTAAAAAAAAAACCCTTTTAATTAAAGAAAACCTGAATAGTAGTTTAGTAAGAAGGAAAAACAGCAAATAGATAATAAACAAACAAGGATGGAGGAGATGAAAGGATTATAGACGACGAACTTGAAAGATACAGGCTTAACTTTTCAAGATGAGCTAACTGTGACGTAGGTCCTTTAAGGTTTGGAGCATAAACGTATTAACTTGACTTGTCTCGGTTCAGACTCACTTCAAATGTAACTGATTCGCATTGTGTTCCATCCCACCAATTTGTCATAATGANAAAAAAAAAAACCCTTTTAATTAAAGAAAACCTAAATAGTAGTTTAGTAAGAAGGAAAAACAGCAAATAGATAATAAACGAACAAGGATGGAGGAGATGAAAGGATTATAGACGACCAACTTGAAAGATACAGGCTTAACTTTTCAAGATGAGCTAACCGTGACGTAGGTCCTTTAAGGTTTGGAGCATAAACGTATTAACTTGACTTGTCTCGGTTCAGACTCACTTCAAATGTAACTGATTCGCATTGTGTTCCATCCCACCAATTTGTCATAATGACTTGACCAGCCGAAGCACTCTTTGGAGCCTCCTGGAAAGCGATGAAATCAATAAATGTGAGCCCGCCATCAGGAGTCAAGCGGTCTAGTCTTCCTGCTTTAAGCGCACACACATCAAAGGAGGTGAGATTAACGTTCTCGACCCAGGTCACTGCAGCGTCGTGAATGAAGTTTCCGCTATAGTTGAAGTAGTTGATGGTGGTCTGAATGCGAATATTTCCTTTGCTGCTCTGGAAAATTCCCGTCTTAAAGTAAACCTTTCTGCAGCGCACATCCTCTGTCTCTAAGCGGAGGGCAACACGACCTCGTTGAAGGACAAATGCTGATAATAAAAGTCAAACAAATTCATGTACTTTTTACGAAGATTTCTTCGAGCTGTGCATTAAGAGAACATCTAGCCTTACACCAAAACTTGCTTTCCAGATGATTTGATCGAGAATGCCTAAAACGTTGGAAGAATTAAACGTAATTAAATATTGTATTATCACTTGGATAATTGACAAAATTATCCAATTAAACGACACATCAAGGGGAGGGTTTCGTTCGTTTTGGAAAAGAATTCAAACCGGAATTTTTCATCTAATGGAGAGCACCCCTCATGTACCATAATATTGCTCCATATCGCCAATGGACGGTTGCATCCCTTTTCGAGAGTGATAAATAGAAATTTCTCTTTACGAAAATTTATACAACGCGAAACCTGCAGTTAATGAGAATATAGAAAAAGCATCCATTGGGATATCATTTCAGGTTCTAAAAAGTAACATTATGCAAGAAATTAATTGTACTGAGTCAAACAGTAAGAATGACTTGAGCGTGGAAGTTGAGTGATTTGTTTTTGTTTTTTTTTAAGTGATTTGTAGAATGCCATGCACTTGTAGTGTAAAGTTTTCCATGTGCTTAATTAGTGCGAGATACAAACAGCTGTTTATTTTTTCCCTAGTTTACGAACAGAGTGACAGCAGTTAAACTGGAAAGAAGAAGAAATGTTCCAGGAATGCTTTTCAAGCCTTCTTTGACTTTCTTGATTTCTTGATATTTTACGGTAAGATATTAAGCCACATAAAACAAGCAAGGACTTACGTTTGCATCCGCCATAGTGCTTTATACCGGGTTCTTCTTGTGCCTGACACACGTGGTAGTTGTATTCACATTTGTTCTTGTGAGTGACGTCATTGCTGTCACACAGTGGAGCCGACTGATCTCCTGTGCAAGGAATACACACGCATTTGTGTGTTGTTTCAGTAGGCGCTTGGCATTCCCCATAAAATGGGCATGTTCTACCGTTGCAGGGATGGTAATCTGTCAAGATAGCAAGTCTATTTCAGTGTGAATTTCGAGATGAATATAGTATATAGGCGTGGCCGTTAGGTGCTACTTCAAGAATCAGAGCGGAAAATGATCTTCACTTCACGGACGAAAATTGAATAACTCGCATTTGCTTTGTTTTTCATTACTCTGCTTATTTTAGATTGGCGTATTAGAGCGGTTTTCATTTGAGTGTCGCAAAGTGATTACTTTTGCATTTCTACGCCACACGATTGACCAAAAAAAACTCGCGCCACTTTTTCATCCAATCAGAAGTTAAACCAAAACCAATCACAACTCGCTCGCACACGTTTTCCCATGTATTTATTACGAGTTTTGATTGGTTCACTGGACTGTCTGTATCTTTTGTACTTAGCCAGAGTGATTACTTTGGTTTTCGTTTTACGATGTATACTCTGTTAAAAACTGCTATAAATCTCGCGCCACTTTTTCATCCGATTAACCAGTAAAACCACACCCAATCGTCAATGGTTCGCGCCCGTTTTCCCGCGCTTTTTGTCGGCTACATGTATTTGCTCAGCGTTTTGATTGGCTCACTGGATTTTCTGTGCCGTTTTTGATTGGAAAAAGTTTTGACTTGGGTTTTGGTTATACGACACACAACTGAAAACCGGTTCAGTAGGTTAGACATTAAAACCGCAACGATAGCATACTTACACCCAGCAGCCATATAATTAAGCGTGATGGGGTCGTGATGAGCGTCATAGCGTTGAATATCCTTCAAGCACACCTGGAAGTCTGTCGTTGTAATGCTCTAATAAAATGAAATCAAACATCGTTACAGGCAAACCTTTTGAAACCTAACGTAAAGTAAACCTGAGATCGGGACCACAACTTAGAGTTTCATAGTTTCAATTCCCTAATAACTCCAAACTTTAAGAAATCAAACTTCTTTCCTTAAAAATAGATGATAGAAAATAAAGCCTCCTTCAAAGTATTGAGGAACACATGGAGCAACATCGAAAATTCACGATTGCGACGGTGATAAGAAATGATGTGCAGTTCAAACAGTATACAGCTCTTAATAACTGGGCCTTAGTCGGAAAACATTTTGATGAGGCAATGTCCATGACAAAATTGTGACAGAGGCAATGTCCAGGAAAAAAGTATGACTAAGGCAATGTCCATGGTTCAATTCGTTTCCAACGTATTGAGAGTATGCATTAAAACCGAAAATAATGACTGCGCAAGTGCCTCAGTTTGCCCTTTAGTTGCTCCGGCCCTGGATAAGATGCATTTATCGCACTGCCCTTTAATGAGACTTAGCTCCTTGAGTGGACAATTTGGACGAAATTATGGTCTGAAATAAGTTTACTTTTGAAAACAGAAAGGAATACTACGGTAGTTTCTGAAGAAAAAGTGTTACTTTTGTGAATTCTCACTTCAATCCATTCTGTAATTGCGTTATCATCAGCATCAATGCGGGCGTTGACGTCATCTTTGTGATGCTTGGTTGTCGTAACCAGAGTTGGAGTTTCAAAGAATCTCTGAGGGAAGTCAATAGTCTGAAAAAATAGAAACAATTTTTAAGAATGTCAAGGCTTGTGCCAAGGTCTCAAATCTCGGCTACTGCGAGTTGCGTTAAATAAATTAAACTTTGAAACAGCGTGAAGATTTTGTGCCCGGCCACTCTCTCCCTTTTCCCGCCTTTTTCACTCCGGTCGTTATTCTTTAGATGCTACTAAACTCACTTTGCAGAAGCTATAGCCTTTGCTATCATCAGGGCTATAGTTGTTGGGAAAGCTCATTTCATCGGCCAAAGGTAATGTCCAGCTACTCGGTACACTAGAGTTAGTGAAGGCCAAGATATTCTGAAAGAAGACAAAAAAGACTGTGGTTATACATACTATACTAAAACGTGAGTTAAATTCCAAAAGAGACCTGTACACACGCTTGAGTATACAGTATTTTTAGATGGCGTCAGGGCAGCTATTGCTGGTGTTCAAAAACAATGAAACGGCCGCCATGTTGGCGTGTCCAAACCAATCCCGTCGGAGTTGAATTTTTTTCTCTGTCTTATGTAAACACTTTGTATTGTTCTAATAAATTTGCTTGGCTGCTGGCCACGCAAGTACTCTACATGTATATTCAGTAACCTAACAGATGTTGTACGAAGACAACTATTTTTAATGCAAATTTGTTTACATTTTTGTTATAGGAAGACAGACACTCACTTTTCAATTTTTAAATAATTTTCAATCTTTAGTTTTGAATTCTGAAGTAGCAATTCTCCGTCAAGTCTTGAATATGAAAGGACTGTTATTTCATCAACAAGATCTCTAAATATTTGTCTACAAAAGCCCCAAATACTTACCACAGACAGGTATTTGTGTGCACCATCAAAGTTTTTCAACTCGCGAAGACATGCTCTGAAATTATATCTAGTAACATCTTCCGCCCAGACGCTTGCGGCGTCATGTTTGTTTGTAACAGGATGGACAGCGGTTACGAACACGTACGGAGCTGTGGCCAAAGGCTGAAGAAGGAAAAAAAGAGAAGCTAACAGGCTAAGCCAGTATTAAGGCAGAAAACCACCACGGCAATGGCAAAGGCAACGGCAACGAGAACGTCAGCAAGCAAAAGGTATAATGGGGAAAACAATGGCTGTGCACGTGTTTTATAAATCTTTGTACATTTCTTAATCGTGCTCTTTAAAAAAATCAGACGTGAAATGACCACAAGGTTTGAGCATCATTTGAAAAACGTGAACTACGATGTATAATTTTTTCATATTTTGTTTTTGAATTGATCGCTGGCGTTACATCTTTAGTTTGAGGAGGTTTTTAGACCGCTCGGCGTTCTGAAGAATTCTAGATAATTGTGAGGTATAAAGGTAAAATATAAATCCATTTTTTTCAGCCGTCGTTATTGCTAAGCGCTCTAATATATTAGGCGAATCTCTTAAGTTTCATAAACGGTAGGGTTGAATTGTGCACGACCCAACTTATCTCTCTTATTAATATCTTTCTTAGAAGAGTATAAAAATTAATCTCAGTTAAATCAATGATGTATGGTTTCCAGAAAGTTTACCAGGCCAGTAAGATTTTGGAAAAGTGTTAAATCGTTTTCAAGGGTTCTTGCCCTTGATAGAAAGCGCTTTGTACAACGTTAATAACTAATTAAGTATATTTGTAGATGAAAAAAATGCATTCTTCTATTAAGTACGAGGAGTAACAGAAGGGTTTCCTCTGCAAACAGCTGATCCAATTTTTGCAGTTTCAATGTTTCATCGTGCAAACTGCTACGTTACATTAATGCTACTTTTTTAAATAAAATGCCAACCTTCGGAAAATCTTCTCGAACGCACTCAGTTCCCGTGGTC